CACATGCCCCCCCCCTCCCCCCCCCCCCATTGCTGCACCTTCACACTGCAATGCACCCCCACTCCTCCTCCCCCCATTGCTGCACCTTCACACTGCAATGCACCCCCACTCCTCCTCCCACTGTTGCACCCTCACACTGCAATGAACACCACTCCTCCTCCCACTGCTGCACCCTCACACTGCAATGCACCCCACTGCCCCGTGCTCTGCTGCATCCTCACACTGCAATGCACCCCACTGCCCCGTGATCTGCTGTACCCTCACACTGCAATGAATCCCCACTGCCCTGCCCTCTGCTGCACCCTCACATTGCAATACACCCTGCTCCCCCGCCCACTGCTTCACCTTCATACTGCAGTGAACCCACACTCCACCTCCAACTGCTGCATCCTCACTCTGCAATGCACTCCCACCCCGACATACACATGGCAGACCACTCCCACCTGTTACATACACACATTGCACTTCACATACCCCACATACAAACTCATACTGCATGCTACACAGTCCCATTCACACATGCCAATCTGCACACACTTCTCACTCACATATACACACTCCTCACACACACATTGCAGTCTGTGCACATCCCCAACGCACACACATTTCCCCTATGCGGCACTGTGGCTGATGGTTGGAAAGTTTTATTCACTGAAGAAAGGAGGAAAAAATAGGGGGTGGGGATGGCACTAAACACACTTTAGCCATTGAATGGGAATGTGGAGTGCCGTGAGGGATGACAGGGGGAGGGAATGTTTTTGCAGAACACAAGCGACTTTCACTCTCCCATAGGGACAGCTGAGGTGTTTAAATACAGCCAAGAAGCACTTCCCAAATAGGCAAGAAAGCCATTGCTAGTGCCCACGGGGAACACAGGGGGTGTTGCTTCCTTCAATTGCAGCATTATTGTTTTGCTTCTTCAGTAATTTATACCAAGGTTAGTCAAGGACAGAGGTTATCTGATCTCTGATGTTCTTCCACTTGTCTCTCCCTCCTGTATCTTATCTATAATGTGACAGCAAAGTTAGTTTGGTTCAGCTGTGACAGCACTTATTTCTGTGCCAGCAGGTTGCGGGTGAATTCAAATTCCACGGGATCAGGGTTTTTGGCTCTTTCCTCCGTTACCACAGTGAAATA